ACGCCTGAAATCTAATGGATGGAAAAAATGCACTCCACATGCTTAGCTGTGTTCAAAAATTCCAGCAGACCTTTAGATGCTCTCTGATATATCTGGAAGTTCACTCTAACTTCCTGGTCCTGGGTTGGCCCCAGGAAGTAAGTTTTACAGAACCATTATTTACCTCCTGCAGCTGAGGCTGGTGTGCCCACTGAAGTGTCTTATGAACTTTGTCAAAGTGGACAGAGATGGGAATGGTCATAGTTCAGGGGCACAGATTGAAGGTACCCCAAATTCCATGTTCCCATGTGGTAACAGTCTGATAAAGCTTTTGTGGTAATGAAAAAAGATAGTCATAAATTAAGCCATTAGGTAGGGAGGTTAAAACAAGGTGTGTGTGTGTGTGTGTGTGTGTGTGTGTGTGTGTGTGTGTGTGTGTTGGGAAGCTCTCTCTTCTAATCTACGACACTGAGCCTTTTGGTTGGCAAAGGTCTATTAAGTGAATACAGTTGAAAGGGTTTTTATCCATTAGCCACAGATATATTAAGGTAGACACCAAGCCTTGTAATAACCCAAGAGAAATTGTAATCAGACTCTGGACCTGCAACATTCCAACCTAACCTCTCCGTGTGTTCACTGTCTTCTCAACTACTTCTCACTAGTCAACTAATTTCCCCAGTGCTTGAGCAAAACAAGTGCTTACGAAACTGGAGGTTTGGTTTGTTTTGTTTTTCTTCTCTGCCTTTGTAGGCTGAAAGGCTGACACTACTGTAATGGATACATTTCATACTCCTGAAGGAAGGAAGCATCTTATCTTCCCTGGCTTTTCAGTGATTTCCTGGGTTTTTTTTTTTTTTTCTTTTGCATTCCTGACTCAAAGAGCCATGTCTGCAGCCTCTGTCTTGGCCTTCACACAGTGTGCCAAGATGTCCCCTTTAATGAGAAACCCAAGGAACCAAAGTAGATGTGAATCCACCCTAATGACCTCAGCTTAACTATGGCATATGCAGAAATGCAGTGTGCCTGTTTCTTTTTTATTTTTTTAAGACAGTTGCGTCTTTATTTAATTTTCTTTTGTATCTGAGTGTTTTGTCTGCATGTATGTCTATATACCACATATACCGATACTACCCAGAAGAGGATGTCAGATCTTGGAACTGGAGTTACAGACAAAATCTTCCATGTGGGTGCTGGGATTAAATCACATCTTCTAGAAGGACATCCAGTGCTCTTAGCTGCTGAGCCATGTCTCCAATCCCCAGGGAAATCCTATTTCTATAACCAAACTCTGAGTATTGAGAGTTAGGGCCTCAACCTATGTGATTGAGAGGCACCAAATCCAACCCATATTAGTTACCTGTCTGATCCTGCCTTTATTTAGCTGTCTCTGAAGATACTTGCTGCTCCCCCTGGTGGACAGTTGCATGACGAGGCTCATGGCTCAGCCATGAAGTAACTTTGACCAAAATGTATAAACGGAAGCACTATGTACAGTATTCAAGCAGGAGCCTCTAAGATCTTTTTTGTCTTAAAGTAGGTAGTGTTCTTGATAGAGGCTGGACTTTGTCTCAGGATGACAAAGACACAGAGCAAAGCAGGAGCTGAGGTTCTATGCGTATGTAATGTAAGCAGAAGGAAAACTGGTATGATCGTATGCTATTAGTTACTGTATTGGGGCTAGAAAGATTAGGATTAAGGCATTTGGCGTACAAGTGTAAGAACATGCACTCCGAACCCCAAGCCCACACTAAGCTGAACATGATAGCATGCATGCATCTCAGCCCTCGCTTAGGTCCATGGGAGGCTGAGACAGGAGAATTCCCCGGAAACTTAGAAGCCAGCGAGAGGTACACAGAGGCAAACAAGAGGTCCTGTCTTAGCTAAAGCAAGGACCAGTTATTCTCTTACCTACAGAGAGAGAGAGAGAGAGAGAGAGAGAGAGAGAGAGAGAGAGAGAGAGAGAGAGAGAGAGAAATGTTTGGCTCTTTTATTACCACAGCATAAATTAAGCTGATTGACCCAAGTTCAACCCAGTGACACTGTAATGTGAATAAATTTTTTCATTCATTATGTATTTCTTGAAAACTCACTATGTGCCGGACATAGAGCTGTATCATAGTCTCTGATGGTTTCGACTTGGCCGACAGATACCTAAGTACCCAAGTACCTGTTCAAACACCAGTGTGGGTCTTCTGTGAAGACAGTTTTTAGATGAAATAGCTTTGAGGAAAGCTAAGTAGCAGCCCTAACATGAGTGAGCTTTGCTCCGTTGGTGTCTTTGGAGAAAAGAAACCCAGTGCCGTCCTAGGAAGTGAGAATCAGATCCTAGCTGCGATCCAGGCTCTCTCCGGTCCTCTGCTCTGCGCATCACAGATTTCCCAGCCCCGCAGCTGCGTGGCCAAGGCCTGGAGGTAGCTCTCACACTTGCTCTTGGTTCTCACTCTCTGGAGAAACTTGAGAGCACAATATTTTCATAATCTAAGAACATACAAGTGAACAAAGATAAGAACGAAATACTGGAGAAGACTATGTACTTAACCTGGTTGTAGGGAGGGCAGGAAATGAAGTCTAATTTGAATATCAAAGGTGGCAGATGGAACAAGACCTGGCCATGGGCAGGGGTAGGGCTGCGGTGAGGACCAGTGACCATGTGGAATACAGAGCATGCCTCCTTAACAGAAGCAGTCTCACCCTCAAGAAGGGGGAAATGGATGCTTTCTAGGCAAAAGAAATGCTTGCTGTTATGCTTGTGTCTATTCAAAACTCAGTGCTACCCAGCACAATCTTGTTTTGAAACACAGAATTCAAGACAGGGGAGATTCTTGGGAAAGTCTGTAGTGGCGGTTCTCAACCTGTGGGTTGCAACCCCTTGGGATCAAGGGACCCTTTCACAGGGGTCACCTATCAGTTATCCCGAATATCAGATATTTACCTTACATTATCAGTGGGTCTCAGCGCTAGGAAGGTCGAGAACCTCTCGTTGCTCCATAGTGAGGCTGGGATGCTGATAGAAAGATGGTCTTGGCAGAGGAAAGGCTACATGCAGAGTAAGGGGAACGTGCATCATTTGAGTGTTGGATGTTTGAGGCATGGAACTATGATGGAGGGGGGCAGGGGCAGCTGAGGGAAGTGACTGATGTAGACACAGACTTTGAATAAAAAGGTGAATTGAAATGTGCCTTTGACCTCAGCTAGATAAATTTGGAATCCAGTTGTACTTTGTGTCTGTGTTGTTAACTGCACTCCATACTGTTTGTTGTTGTTGCTGTTGGTTTTGTTTCTTTGTTTGTTTGTTTGCTTTTTGCTTTTTGTTTGTTGGGGAGCGGTGCATGTGGGAGCCATGCATTGGCTATGAATGGGTCCGGAGGCCCAATGTCAATGCTGGCTATCTACCTACCTCGGGTGCTCTCTACCTTATTTTTAGGCATGGTCTCTCATCAATTAGTCTGAACCTCAGTGTTTGAGGTGGACTGAGGGACATGGGGCAGCCCCTGAGATCTTCCTATCTCTGCCCCTCAGTCTTGGAATTACAGGCCATGTGTGAGCCTGACTTCTACACAGGAACTTGGGATCTGAACTCAGGTCCTCAGGCTTCCACCACAGTGGCCTTTACCCACTGAGCCATTGGCCTGCTGACGGCTTCATATATGAATCTGCTTTGCATTTCTGGTCACTTGCTGAGGGAATCATTATGTTCTCACCATTGTTTCAGAAAGAGGGAAAGGCCTTTGTTAAAAATCGTTTTCTCTGGCCTGCTGCGTCTTTTGAGATTTATAATCATATTCTCTAGTGTAGCATTATGCTCAGGTGGGGCTTCATCAAAACGCTGTTCTTGAAGTGTGTTAGCCTCCAGGGAATTTTCTTGTGATTCCCTTCACTGAAGTTTCAAAGATTACCAATGGGGGCCTGAGAAAGCTATTTCTTTGGTATTGTTATTGAAAATAGAACGAGAACAATGGTCTATTTAATAACCATTATCATTATCTTTTTCCCAGATTGAATTAAAATTGCTTTAATATCCTATTATAGAATTCCTTGCAACAATGCTGTCAGTTATTTTTCTTATTTCCACCAGCCCGCTAACAATGAACTTATTCATTATTCAAGCTAATTCAGTACTTCCGAGAGAGCGTCAAAATGCAGCTTTGAATCGAAAGTACTGAAATATTATGTGTGCTATGATAACTATAACTTCTAGCATTTTCCTACTACAGGCTTAGCCTGCTTGCTGGTGTGAGTAGACCTGGTGGGAGTGATGACTATATTTTTAGCAGCAACTTCTGGCCATATTTTTAGAAAGCCTTAGTCTGTGAAAGACTGTAGAAGATAAGTTTATGCTGTAGAAACAGATCATGGGCCCAGGTCTTGGGCTGAGCCTAATTCATATGGTTTTATGAACTTACCAGATGTGAAAAGTCTTTTCCATCTCCATCTTCATGGTACCTCCACTTTGTTATTTCAATAAGCGGTATTCATAATGCTACATAGGGCTGCTATGAATGTTAACAAAACTCATTATGTAAAGCACACAGAACAGTGCCTGGAACGTAAACATTGCTTCCTAACGTCACCTAGCATTATCTGCGACCCATTATTAAAGATTTTAAAACCATTTATTGAGTTCTTCCTGTAGGCCAAAGGAGAAACTTCCTGATAGAATTCTAGATGGATAATATGTTATGCAAGCTTTGTAGCATGGTTCAGGATTCTCTTGAAACTTTTTCCTCTGATATTATTATTGAGCTCTCAACTGTGTTTCATGCCTTATTAGCTCTCCGTGCTGGGATGGTCTTGTCCTCGGCTGAGACTGGAAAGATGTGAGATCCACAAGGGAAAGTATTCTAAGAAGCAGTAGAGACAGGTTGGACATGTCTGGAGCTCACTGGATGAGGTTCTAAAACTTCCCCTCATGCTAGCGTTTACAGTGTAACAGGAAGAAGGAAGGGAGAGTGGCTCATTGTTTACTGACCTCTTTGAATTTTGACCAAATAATCAAAAGAAACTTTCAATATATCTTTCAGAAAATGGCTTTGAAATTCAAAAACGCCAAACGAATCGAAGGCTTGGACAGCAATGTGTGGTGAGTGTCTTAGACAGAGAGCTTCCTGTGGGTGCTTAAGTTGGATTCTTAACTTTACCTGCAGTTCAATAGAGAAGCCATTTGGTTTAATTTACCATTAAAATTAAATGGAGGAAGTTAGCCACCCATACATATTCGGATTTACTCATTTAGCAAATGTGTTACCCTCTGGGCTAGCACTGAATATACAGTAGAGAAAATCTAAAACTAAGTTTGACTGGTGTTTTTGTGAAATTTATAACAAACTGTTTCATTTTCTTTTTTATCCTTGACCTTGCTATGCATATAGCCCAGGATGGCCTCAAACTCTTGATCCTCTCGCCTCAGGCCCCCAGTCCTGGGATTCTGGGGATTACAGGGATTATAGTTTATGAACATGCAACATATCCAGTTAGACTTTTCTTATTAGCTCTCCTTTCAGCAGTTGATAAGAAAAATTAAACACAGCATGGTGGCACATGCCTTTAATCCCAGCACTAAGGAGGCAAAGGTAGGCCAATCTCTATGACTTCAAGACTAGTCTAGTCTACAAAGCAAGTTCTAGGAAAGCCAGGGCTCTGTTACACAATGAAACCCTGTCTCAAAAAAACAATAACAAGAAAACCTAGTACTAGCTCCCCCCATGAATATATGTATATATGATTGCCCATACATACATATAACCATGTATTGGTATGTATATGTGTGTGTGTTATTTCCCTGAAATATGAATGTCCCTGAATTGACTTCTCTAGGAAGCTGAGATTATTAGTTCAATCATCATTTGCTAGGTAAATTCACCTTGTGGGTAGTAACAGTTTTGTTGAGAACTCACTGGGTTTTGCTTCTTTAATGAGAACATATTGAAGCTAACTCTGTAATGATAGTATTTCCTAATGTTTGTGGTTGTTTTGTTTGTTTTGTTTTTAATCAGGGTTGAATTTACTAAATTGGCTGCGGATCCTTCTGTTGTGAATCTTGGACAAGGCTTTCCAGATATATCCCCTCCTTCATATGTAAAAGAAGAATTATCAAAGGCTGCATTTATTGATAACATGAATCAATACACAAGGGGCTTTGTGAGTCTATCAGGGCCATGTGGGATACACTGATACTTCATGCTTGTGTGTGTGTGTGTGTGTGAGTGTGTGTGTGCACACACTTACAAACTCCTCTTCCTTAAAGGCAATTTGACTTTCTAGGATCAACTGTCTTAACCTGGAAACTTAGGAGCCCCTTGACCTCACCTCTTAAGATGAGCCTTCTCCAGTTTCCAGGAATCTTACAGTCCCATTTTGGCTGTTCATTGACTACTGTTCTAGAATAAGATCTCAGGACATCAAAGCATCTTTGCTATCTCATTAACACTCATGTAGCCTTGGCATTGGCTTCTTAAAGAACCCTATCTCTAACTAGTTGCTCACCTCCTCTTTAGCCTTTCTAACCCTGTCCATCCTCTGTGCTGCAGTGCCCGGGTATCCAGACATTTCTCAGATTAGGGTGAACTTTGAACTGTGGAAGTCCAAGCAGTCCACACAGAGCATTGCTATGTGGATGGGAGAACATGGAAAACAGCAAGACTGACCCAACCAGGACTTTCACGAGAGTCTCATGGTCTCACTGTCTTCATTAAGATGTCTATTGCTATGGCAAAATAACGTGGCCAAAAGCAACGTGGGGAGCGGGTTTATTTTGTCTTACAACTTGTAGTCTATCATCCAGGGAAGCCAGGAAAGAAACTCAAGGAAAGAACCAAGTAGGAGCTGAGGCAGAGGCCATGGGTAGAAGGGTGCTGCTTACTAGCTTACTCCTCATGGCTTGCCCAGCCTGCTTTCTTATAATATCTAGAACCAACAGCCCAGGGATAGCACTGCCCATAGTGAGCTGGGCCCTCCCACATCAATCATCAATCAAGAAAACTCACCATGGGCTTGTCCATAAGCCAATCTGGATATGGGAGCAGACATATCCTCCTTCCTGGAGGTTCGCTCTCCCAAATGACTCAAGTTTGTGTCAAATTGGCATGCAAGTAGCTGTCACACTCACTAACTGACCAGTCTATACGCCTCCATATCAGACCTGAAACTATGGGAGTTGTAGAAGAAAATATAATGGAAAAAGGTCAAGATATTGGTATAAAATATGATTTTTTTATAATGCTCCCAAAGCATAGGTAATAATAGCAAAAATAGACAAATGGGCTTACTATCACTAATCATCAGGAAATGTAAATAAAGCCACAAGAAATCACCTCATCCCAGTCCAGATGGTTATTATTTAAAAAGCAAAGGAGAACAAAGAAGAGAGAGGGAAACTCTCTCCTCTATACTCTTGGTATTACCACCGTGCACATATCACAAAAGGACGTACAAGCAGAGCCAGCAAACTAGGTCAGTGGGTGAAGGCAGGGCCAGCAAACTAGGTCAGTGGGTGAAGGCAGGGCTGAAAACCTGAGTTTGATCCTTGGGATGTTCATAGTGGAAGAAGAGAAACAATTCTGCAGTAGTTCTCTAACATCCACAGGTGTACAATGTATCATGGATACCCCTCCCCCAAAACACACAATAAATAACTGTAAAAAATAATGTTTAAAGGAGAAACACACGTAGAAACGTGTGGATTCTTATCCAAAGGGAATGAGGTCAGCATATCATAGACACCCTCACCCATGTTTACTGAAGTGCTGGTCACTGTAGCGAAGATACTGAGTCTAGGTGACTGATCCTCAGCAGAAGTGTGGGAGAAAATATGGCACCTTCTGCAGGAGACGATTCTGCCATGGAGAGGGTGAAAACCAGGCACCGACAGCAAAGTGGATAGAACTGACAAACATCATGCTAACCGAATACTGAGGCAGACACGGAAGGACAAATGCTTAATATTTTATCTCATCTATAAAAGCTGTAAAGTGTAGATGAAGGTTGATGAGAGTTGAAGAGTAATTACTAGAGGCTTGGAAGAACAGCTGGGAAGAGAGACAGGGAGATTAACAACAGATACCGAGACCCAGTGAGATGGCAGGAAAAATTCTTATCTTCTGCACCACAGACGGGGATTATAGTTCACAATAACCTGTTACATATATTTGGAGACCTGTCATAGAAGAGAGAAGCTTGAAGCTTCCAAGAGAGCCTAGAGGAAAATGCTAATTACTGATTTTATCTGTATACTGTATGGTCTTGTGGTGAGGTACCACTGCCCGTTACATATGTGCAATTATTACACGTTAGATAAAATATGAATGGCTTATTTCAGAATATGAGTTGAGCCCAGGGCAAATCCCCTGTTCCCAAACTTTCTCTTTTGTGAACACTCTTCATCAGCAGCAAGTTTTCATAACCATTCATAGAGAAGCCCTCAAAATGCAAACGCTTTTCAAGTTTATTGCCACTTTGCAGATACAAATTTAGAGGCTGGAGCGACTCAGTGATTAAGAGCACTTGATACTCTTGACCTGGGTTCAATTCCCAGCACCTATATGGTGGCTGACACCTGCCTGTGATGTGATGTAATGTCAGATCCGGGGATTCAACACCCTCGTCTGGCCTCTACTAACTACACTCATTCGGTACACACACACATATTTCATTTACATTTCAGATGTTATCCCCTTAAAATCTGTTTTTAAAAAAATACACATTTAGGGATAATACTAGATATTAAACCCAAATTTAAAAATAGTTACATTACTTCAGATAAGTAGTTTTCATAATGAATTTCAAGGTGGGTTTTTGTTTTGTCCAAATCTTTAATACAACAGGGTCATCCAGCACTTGTGAAAGCTCTATCCTGCTTATATGGAAAGATTTATCAACATCAAATTGATCCAAATGAAGAAATCCTTGTGACAGTGGGGGGATATGGATCTCTCTTTAACTCCATCCAGGGATTGGTGGACCCAGGAGATGAAGTAAGTGTATGAACCTTGTCACATCCCCTATGCTCTGTCTCATGTTGGAAATGGTTCCTCAGTTTGCGCCTTTTTCACTTTCAATCCATTTTGCAGTCATGTGATGTTGGTGTGGTAAAGCTAACAAGCCTTAAATGTAGGGCGGGTTAAACTGCCATGTAGCCATAGCACACGTAAAGACGGTGCACCTTTCCGGGATCCAGAGACTTTGAGTCCTTCCTGAGGGTGTGTTCTCCCAGAGCTAACCACTGTTCTGTATTCTGCACCTCAGCTCGTTCTTGTGCCTCTTTGACGGGAGAGAAGTCAGACTTGTACCTTTCAGGTTCTTGAACTTTTTATCCGTTTCATTTATTATGATGCCTGTGAGATTTGTCCACTTTGTAGTGTTGTTAGTTAGCTAGTGGTTAGTTTGCTTATGGTTGTTTTTGACACAGGTTGTTCTCTTGCCCAGGGTGACCATTAACTTTTTATGTGGCTGGCATGCAGCCCCTCTTCCCACACACACAGGTTCAATAAAAACATAGTCTGTGTGTGTGTGTGTTTGTAGAAATATTTATATTCTTTTATCTAGGGGTAGTAACCATACGAATTTATTCCACTGACGATCTAAAGATGAAGAACTATATACCCAAATGTAACGCTGTTATTTATATATGCAAGGGTAAGAAAATAATTCTAAAATTCAGTGAACTCTCAGGTAGACATTAACATAAAGGTGAAAATTAGACTTGTACTTCATTTTCATGAAATCAGGCTAGCTTTTGAAAAGATTAAAAAAGCATGGGCCGGCAAGATGGTTCACTGGGGAAAGCCATCTTCTGCAAAGTTGGACAACCTGAGTTTGATCTCTAGAACCCATGTCATGGAATTAGAGTCAACGCTGACAAGTTGTCCTCGGACTCCCACGTGTGCACCACAGTGCACATAAGAGCACATACGCAACAAATAAGTGTATTACAAAAGTGTATAAACGCAGAAAGCTAGACATGTGTCGTAGCACATGCCTACAATCCCAGAACTTGGGAGGTCAAGGCTAGAGAAGATCTTATTTCGATGAAAGGGAGAAAGGATATTGTCTTACTTACTTTTCTGTTTCTCTGGCCAAATACCATAACCAAGGCGGAGTACGAAAGAGGGTTTAACTGAGAGCTTGCTTATAGTTTCAGAGGGTGAGCAGAAACCATGAGCATCATAGCCTGGAGCATGGCAGCATGCAGGCAGGCCCTCACGATGCTGGAGCAGTAGATGACAGCATTTGTGTTGAAACAACAACCATGAGGCAGAGAGATAAGTGGAATGGAGTGGACTTTTGAATCCCCACTGACACACCTCCTCCAGCAAGGCCACGCCTCCTAATCCTTCCCAAACAGTTCCACAAACTGGGGACCAAGCTTTTGAACATAGGGGCCTGTGGAGCTATTCTCACTCAAACCACCATAGAGAAATAAAGGAAAAGAATGACAGAAAAAGGTCCTAGTTCAGGTCTGCAGGCGGGGGTGTGATGGAGCAGCTCAGACCAGCTGCTCATCCTGAACCTGTAGCCAGGGTGGTTGGAGAATATGAGGGTCGAGAAGTCTGATCCAAAGACTAGGAAAGAGGCAGGTGCCAGATACCACATGCCTGGGCGGTCTGCTGTGGGCATCACACAAGAACAGCAGCATTCACTCTGTCCCCCCATCCACATGTTTACTCTCAAGACAGTGTCTTGAAATTAGCACTCCGTTCTAGAAAGTATCGCAGTCATTCCTAAAATCCGGCTTCTATCACTGTCTGATATATCAAGTACATCATACCTTGTAGTTTGTAACTTGAAATATAAAAAAAAAAAATCCTTATTGTTTTGGGTTAGTACGTCTGTTTGAGACCATGATGAGATGTCTGAGCCCCAGATAAATCTGGATGTGCACCTGAAATACGTGACAGTTTGGAATGTCCTCACTGTAAGTCCATCTGTAGGATTTCTGAAAGGTCAAGAATGCCAGCTTTGACTCCCTGGGTGCCTTTATCTCCAGGGTCTTTTGCACTAAGGCATTAGTTCCACAAAGACCAGACCTGTCTTTCCATTGCTACATTCTGTCACAGCGCCTCATGAGAAGAATTGCTGGCTGATAGCCTGTGTTCTTATTTGCTTTTATCTCAGGTGATAATTATTGTGCCCTTTTACGACTGTTACGAGCCCATGGTGAGAATGGCCGGAGCAGTGCCCGTGTTTATTCCCCTGAGATCTGTAAGTCTCCTGTCATCTATGGGCTTGAGGAATGTTGTAAAATACCAATTACTTTGTCACTGAAGTCATATCTAAGTCTTTTGAAAATAACAACTACAGTAACTAAGGTGACTCATAGACTCGTCAGTCATAAAGTGTCTCCAGTTGCCCATAGTTACAGCCGGCTTGTGGGAAAAGCAACAGCTGTTTTGCTGACGGGGTTCATTGTTTCCTTTAACCAGTGTGTTCATAATGCCTGGGACCTCCGGGTTCTCCAGGTTGAGTTAGAGCCGAATTATTTGTGTGTGTGTGTGTGTGTGTCTGTGTGTGTGTGTGTGTGTCTGTGTGTGTGTGTGTGTGTGTTCTTTGTTAATCATTTATTCGGTTATCTTTGCCAGGTCTGCCTTAAATCTTTTTCCTTTATTAGGTTTGTAAGACAGTAAACATGAATTAATTAATTCTAATCACATTTTATTCTTCATGCCTAGAAACGTACTGACAAGACGAAGTGGACTAGCTCTGACTGGACGTTCGATCCTCAAGAACTGGAAAGTAAATTCAGTTCCAAAACGAAAGCCATTATATTAAATACTCCAAACAACCCCATCGGCAAGGTGAGCGGGCCTCTCTGCTTACATTGGCTGGGAGTCGCTGTTCTCTCACGTGTAGAGTAATTGGCTGTGCCCTTTCCTTCAACATGTGTAGGTGTATACCAGAGAGGAGCTGCAAGTCATTGCTGACCTCTGCATCAAGCACGACACTCTGTGCATCAGCGATGAGGTTTATGAATGGCTTGTCTATACTGGACATAAGCACATAAAAATAGGTACTGACTACGGCAAGAGTCTCAAGTCTGAATGTGTTTGGTCACGTGTGGAACAACTGATCGGAAAGGATCCTAGACCAGCTTATAATAGTCTCTGTGATGGGTATCTGTGCGAGCACTTACAGGAAGGATTTATGTGGATCGTGTTTGAGGGATTAAAGGTCAGCTTGAGGGACAAATGTTCAAGTGAGGAAAAGGACTTGAGATCACATTACGAAGCCTGGACACCAGCAGAGTAGATCTTTAGCCTGTCTTTGGCTTCTTAACAAGAATCGTGCTGTTCCTCGGTGTGTAGACCCTGGCACAGAACTTTTCATGAAGAGGTCATGTGTGTTTGTGCTGAACGAGTTGCCAGACAACATCAAGGAATTGTAGAATAGCAAGCTATTGCTATTCTGTCCTCAGTGGGATTTTGCCATTGCTACTGGGCTATCTCACCCAAATCCTGCAGTATTATCTGGGGTGGCCCAAGCTCTCAACCGTAGCATTTTGGTACACAGATACACAGTCAGGCAAAACACCACATGCATAACATATTAGTTTTAAATCCCAGTTATATTCATAGCTCTATTACAAAGCTGTCACAGCAAATGCATCTTTTAACTTAGTGATTAATATATCCATTTACTAAATCCTCTTGTTAAGTGATGTGTAATTTTCAAAATCAGATAAGTGGCAGCTACTGACAATGGCTTACAAAACTCATGCAGAGGAAAAACCTAAGGTGTCTTTTCAAAGTTCTGTATATTACCTTGTCCCCAGAGTGCCTTGTTTCCTCTGCTCTCTGGTAGCTTCTAACAGGGATTTGAAGGGCAACTGTGAATGAGTGACTTTGGAAGATATCAGTCAAGAGACTTGGTGACTCACCTCTGGTTGAAAATAAAAATGCTCCAAAATTAAAGGTAGTGATGCTTGTACAGTAGACTGCACACCTTAAATGGCTACATGGTACAGTATAGGATTTTTTTAAATCTCAATAACATTGCAGGCAAGCCAAACATAGATAGATTACAAGGCATTGTAGGTCTGACTTCCTTAAATGCTTCCAGTGAAGCTGCACATCAGGAACCGTCGCTCTCGAGAGTATGGGGAAACAGACCTAGAAAGAAGTGCTCGAAGTAGTCACGTCCAAATCCAGCCCTTAGGACCACAGCTCAGTGGTAGAGCACATGCCTAGCATGTGAGAGGTTCCAGGTTCAATCCCCAGTACTGTCCAGGAAAATTAGCTGCTTAATGTTGCAGCCATGACTAGCCCCAGGCACGGAGTGTCATGGCTTCAGTGACATCTGACACCTAAGCTGTCCTGCTGGTACCACTGCCACCTCAGAAATGGTTTTGCCATATAAAACTGTAAATCTGAGTAGACTGGATGGTTCTGCAGATAAGAGCACTTGTGGCTAACCCTGAGGTGACCTCAGTCCCAAGGCCACATGGTAGAAACAAGAGAAAACAAACTCCCAACACTTGTCCTTCTGACACCCACACATGTGCAGTGGCACAGGTAACAGCCCCCAAAAAATTAAATAGATACATAGATAGATAGGTAGATGGATGGATGGATGGATGGACGGACAGACAGACAGACAGACAGGCAGAGTGATGAGAGTGTTGTGCCTGTCTGTATATTGGTCCAACACTGAAATGCACTACAACATTTTTAGCTAAATATGAGCTTAAATTTGAATTATTTAAAAAGAATGCTGAAATGACTCTACTAATGATCTATGTAATATATGTTTTCATTGAGTTCATGTTACCTGCACTGTGTTTTTAGACTGATTATATTTGATAAAAACCAATTTGAAAGGAGATATATAGCCACTTACTTATTTTTCTTGTCTTTTAAGCCACTCTTCCAGGTATGTGGGAGAGAACAATAACAATAGGAAGTGCTGGCAAGACATTCAGTGTGACCGGCTGGAAGGTAGGAGATAGGGTGCGGCTGAGCTGGGGCTCAATGGTAGAGCACGTAGTTTGCATGTGACAGCCTTGGGTTGAGTCCCCAGTACCCTGAAGAAAAATCAGGTGCTTAAAAACAGGCTGACGCTTTAATTTCTGTAGAATATTTTACATTTTAAATGCATACATAATATGCTTTATAGTTAGTGATCCTTTCTGTATGTACTGGTTTGCTCAACTCTCATGTCGGGCTTCAGTCTTTTAGCTTTCATTACATGCATATATTGGGAACAAGGGGATGTGTGCCGTGGGGTATATGCGGGGGTCAGAGGGCAATGTGTAGGAGTCACTTCTTTCTTTCCAATGAGTGGATCCATGAGATTGAACTTGGGTCCTCAGGCTTGGTAGCAAGCAAGTTTTAACCCTCTGAACCCTATCACCTACCCACGTTTCATCCCTTTGGAGACTAAGGAATTCCTTAAAAGAAAAAAGATTCAAGCAATTTTTATGAGTGACCAACTAATGATACATTTTCTTTTTTGAGGTGGGGGTTGGTTTTTCAAGACAGGGTTTCTCTGTGTAGCCCTGGCTGTCCTGATATTTTCTTTATGAAGAATATTTACATAGGAAAAGAGAAAAATAAGACTGACCAATACTCTGGTTTTAACTGTGATCCAAATACTGAGTGTTTTTATGCATGCCAATTTTTTTTTTCATTCTTATAAGCACAGTATAAAGTGGGCATAGTTATTATCCCTATTTTGCAGATAGTAAAACTAAAATCACAGGAATTTTTGCTGTCTTGTCTGAGATCACACTGCTAATAAACTGAAGCCAGGGCAGGTAGCCCACCTTCAGTCCCCATGCACCAACCACTGAACTGTCGCATTCATCCAGGTGTGGTGGCCAAAGCCATAATCCTGAGCCCTTGGGAGTGGAGGCAAGAAAATCAGGAACCCAGGGTCATCTTCAGCTACCTTGAACCCAGGTTCATCTTCAGCTACCTTGTGAGTTCAAGACTAGCCTGGGCAATAGGAGATACCATCTCATAAAACAACAAATAATCCCCCCAGTTAAAATTCAGTTCTCATTCAGCCTTATTGATACTACCTGGGGCTGAGACACAGGGAACACTGGGAAGCCAGGAGAATTAAAGATCTGTGTGCCTTACTTGTGGAGATGTTGTCTGAGCTGTCATGCAAAGACACTTGTGCCTGGACTTCAAGCAAGTGTAACTGCTGGTTTTATTCCTCCTGAGTATCAGAAGTGGGACCTGAGCAAGAGGAGGGGCTTACAGTGATCCCAGGTTGTGTTTATCTTCAGAAGGCAGGCTGAGGGGTGAGGGCAGAGCTGGGGACTTCAAAACAACAAGCACTACCCCACTTTCCTCCTGGGGACATTTCTGAATCACGCGTATTTGTCATTTACACTAATGGCTCCCTTAGATATGATATATATCCTTAGATTACTATTTGAAATCTGCTTTTGTGTCTTCCCTTCCCAGCTCGGCTGGAGCATTGGCCCTGGTCACCTGATAAAACATTTACAGACTGTTCAGCAAAACAGTGTTTACACTTGTGCAACTCCTTTACAGGTAGGTGTTAGCCTTTACGCATTCAAGAATTGGATAGCATCTTCATGAGCAAACCTTTCTGATACACTTTGGGAATTTTGGAGCAGACGTGTAGCCTTTGGATAATCCCTAATTTCAAGCTGCATAATTTTATGTCACATTTAAAAAGCTCCCTCTGACCACACAGGATAGTGTATTTTAAGAGACAGACAACTCAGATGGTTATTCTTTGTACTGCGATAGCTATTTAAAAAAAAAAAAGAAAAAGTCCCTGGGTGTGGTGATGCATGCCTGTTTTTCTTAGCTCTTGAGGCTTCAGTCAGGAGGATCATGAGTTCAAGGCTAGTCTGAGCCACTTTAAAACATAGCTGGACAACATACCCAGGCCCTGTGGAAAGCAGACAGAGAGCAAACAGTATAACTATTCAGGAAGACTTCCAGAATATATTGTGAATTATTAAAAAAGCAAAATACATGGCAGTATGTATTTATACTAATTTATACTATATTTTGTGTAAGAGAAGTAGGACACCTCCTAAGATGATGCAGAAGAAGCCACTGCTGTCTCTGTGGGTAGAACGGGCTGACAGGAAGTAGACAGCAGACCCTTTCTCCCAGGTTCCTCTAGCACAGTGTCCTGCCTTAACCTCCCGAGCTGTGGGAGCACAGACAAGTACCATTGTCTCTGGTCCTTAATGTATGGCTTAGTTAGGCTATTGCTATTTTTGTACACATTTCTAGAAACGGATCTATTTTTCATCCTTCTCTGAATACCCCCAAATAAACTAACCCAGTATTCTACTTCTAGGAGGCAGGGGAAGCACAAGAAAGTAAAAATATTGGTTCCATTGACCTGATTGAATGCTTCTCATCCAAGTTGTCTGTCTATCTAATAGAAAAATTTTCCATTATTTTTAGTGATTCTCCTAACTGTGATAAAGGCTAGTTCTGAAGGTTTGCTTTATTATATTTTAAGTTCATTTTATTCTATCACCTCAATATAAAGACATTCACTTATTCAACTACGATCTACTGGAGATTAGAGATTTTACAGACAAAAGGCCACTGTATTCACATAGCTTAATGCCGAGTCGAGAGACATAAATAAGAGAGATACCATTAAGCAATATTATGTTAGACTTGATAGACGCAAAGAGAAGGTTGGAAGGAAGGAAGATGTGATGACCCAGATTGGAGAGGATATGATGTCATATTGGGCTAGCCCCATGGAGAAGACAACATCTGAGCGCTGGCTAGAATAGAGGAGAGCCCTGTGACAGAATAAACGTGCAGCCCAATGGTAGACACACAGCGACCGTGGGACGTGGGAAGCCATGGCAGTTTTGAATGTATGGTATCTAAAGGAGTCTAGGGCTTCATCGAGAGAGCAGGTAAGAGAGGAGTCACAGGAGAGAAATATCCGTGGACTGAACCAAACTGACGGGGCCCTGGATGTAGTTGGAAGATTAAGTCAGTGGTGTCTGCCACTGGACAGTGCAAACATGCTTAGGAAAAAGAAGGAATCCAGACATACTTAGCACAAATGTTTGTGTCTTTGTGCTTTGGATTTTCCAGGTCAAGGACTTTTGTAGTGAATGAACAAATTGCTCAGAAAGGTACAGCTGAAATTCTATAGTATCTCCTGAAGCATCTTAACTCTGCATTTCAGAAAATAATGCCCTCAGACAGCTGTGTTTGGAAAGTGGATGCTGATCTCCTAGTGTTAAAGAATTCTGTCTTGTGGCTAAATTCTCCTGCCACACAGACTTCTGTGAGGTCTCAACCCCTTCCACCTTGTCATGCTGTCTTTTGCTACAGCTCTGTCATACATAACAGATTTTCTTTCCTGGCCTTACCATCTCACCTCACCTACCCTTCATCATGTACCAATTCTGAAAGCCAGGGCTTTGCCTATGTTGCTAATCGTTCTGTCCCCAATGCCAGAACCCATCAGGCTCACTGCCAACCGTCTCGCCCTCTGCTTGGCAGATCTGTGTGTTTTATGCCTTACTCTGACTGTGACTTAGTTTTATCATCCCGACCTGTCATAAATCTCAGTCACATGCCTGATCTTTACTGACTTAGTCTGTAAAAAAGTTGTAGTAACAAAGTACTAGAGACTGGGCAGCTAATACAGTAAAGGAATTTAGGGGCTAGAATGATGGCTCAATGGTTAAGAGCACTGGCTGCTCTTCTAGAGGTCCTGAGTTCAATTCCCAGCAACTCCATGATACCCTCTTCTTGCATGCAAGTGTACATGCAGATAGAGAACTTATACACATAAAATAAATGAGTAAATTAATTAATTAATTAATCTCGAAAGAAAGACAAGAAAGGATTTCTCAAGGTTCTGAAGGCTGTGAGGATTCAGATCCTAACCCTGCCAGAAGCCATGTCAGAGCCTGCTACCTCATAGGTATCTCTTTTTCATTATGTTTGCTTATGATAGAAGTGATTCTGGTACCATTCCTTGGGCCTCTAGTCTCCTGGGCCTAATCACTCGACAAAGGCAAGCACATTAGGAGTAATGTCTACACCTTGGAGACCAAGAATTCACCTAACGGAATGAAGGGAACATGAACACTAAGTCCTTTCTGGTTTTCGTTGGACACATTCTCTAGTCTCTTCTTTGTCACCACTGCTGGAGGAGTTGCTCACAGGTCCCAGAGACTTGTCTCTAGATACATTTACTTCTTGGGATCAGAAGGGTTTTGGTATATCCTCTGAGGAATGGGGAACTTGGGTTTGCTTGTCTATACAACAAACCAGTTTTCATTTCCTCCTGTGCCTTCATCCTCAGTAATAGGAAAGACTGACTCTCTCTTCACCTGTCTGATGATTCTTAGACTGAGACTTAGCAAGCTGGACCACAGCTCGACTCATTACAAAACGCTTCAGGTCTTTGTGTTACCAAGTACACCATCTTTACATAACACCTCTTTTTCGTTTGGGATTTTCATGTCTTCCTCTGTCATATTAGAGTTAGATGTTTACACAAAAAACTCCTTCCTCCGTTAACCTATGGAGCTGAATAGTCCGCAGGAAGCTGGCTGTAATTTACTGAGTGACCTCTTGACACAAATCTTTGTATGATGATGATCTTTATTCATTCTACCAGTAAATTAAGCCATAGATGACATCCTTTCTTAACATGCAGGCAGCCTTGGCCGAGGCTTTTTGGATCGATATCAACCGCATGAATGACCCAGAGTGTTACTTTAATTCTCTGCCAAAGGAATTAGAAGTGAAGCGAGATCGGGTGGTCCGGTTACTCACCAGCGTTGGCCTGACACCCATTGTCCCTGATGGGGGTTACTTCATCATTGCTGATGTGTCTTCATTAGGTTTGTGAAACGTCTCTATTTATTTCAGAGTTACAGACACTTACGTCTGAAACAACAGCAGAGAGGTATGGGGAAAGGGGTCAAAGTCAAAACTGCATCTCATCTCTAGAAGAGGACGTGTTTTCAGGATGCCAACACTTCCAACAATTCACTTTCCTTTCAGAACTTTTACCTGAATTTTCACTGCTGACCAGTTGTCGGGTCAGTGCTGTTCTAGGTGTTCTGTTACAGAACTGTTGTTATTGTGTGCAGTGAAAACTTCTGAACATGAAACAGTACACTTGAAATAGTTCACTTGAAGGTTTTCTGTTTTCTATTTTGGTAACTTTTCTAAATGCTATTTGGTAGGAAAACAGAAGTTTCTAGAAGTTGGGAAGCTGTAAGGAAGCACCTTCTGTTTTCAAAGCTACAGAAATGAATGCCTCTGTTTAAGAGGGCCAAGCACTCAAATACCCTCTTCAAAAAAGCATGTTAGTGCCATCTTTGAAGACAGGAAGGCTCAATAAAACTTAAATAATTTCTGACAGTCATGTAGCTGGAATCTTTACAGTTCTTTCTCCAAAATCATGGGTTCATTTATTTTCCACTGGGGCGTGAGGCGGTCAGAGGACGCTCATGTGCAGAGGTCAAAGGACAACTTTTGGGAGTGAATCACTTCTCTCCTTCTACCATCTGGGATCTGGGGGTTGACCTCTGATCATCAAATTTGCCTTGACCCCCTGAGCCATCTTGCCAACCCTCGTACAGATGGGTCTCTGTTATCTGAAAGTGATGATATAATCCTGACTTGCCACCAACAAGTTTTCCAGTTGGAAACATGATGATGTTTTACATTAAACTTGTTGACCTTTGCCGACCTATGCATCTCTGTCTGTGGGACCTGGGATTTGAAAACCTTAAAGAATGGAGCAGACTCCCATCCAATGCTGTGGACAGTCTTATGTCCGTCTCAGTGTGGTTTTATACAGGAATGTAACAAAGAAAGCATTGATTCCAGGAAGGGTGTTTGAGTTCAGAAAAACATTATTTACATGTTTTGACATCAGTAAGCATATTCTAAATATTAACAGAGCAGCCCTTTTCCAGAACTTTTCTCAGGACAGACCAACTTAAACACAACTGCCTGGCATGCGCTATAGATTATATCAGGAAAACCATAAAAGCAAGACAGAAGGCCATATCCAGACTCAGGGTACACGGGAACAGCACTCAGAATGCCCTGTCACCAGAGTGGGTTCTGTAGCTGTGTTCTGACATCTAACAAGAATAAATATGTCTTATAAATGTAATGTAAATGTTAGTCACAGGACTCATGAGATCATGTCCAGGAACAATCCAGGGAACAAGGTAAAAGGTCCTCTCCTCTGCCTTTTTCCTGGAATCTTTCACACAGTTCCCCAAAGCGTTGTTTGCCGTGTGTCATTCCTTTGGCCGTGTTCCAACAGTTTTACAAGAAATGTATATTTCTTTAATATTTTAAAAATATTATTAATTGTAAACCTTCAAGCATCCTGTATTGATAAATTATGATTACCCTAATATAGTTTTCAATTTTTAGACGGTGATAACATTATATGCAGCTGAACTTGAAAACTCAAGTTTCTCATTCATGCTCAATTTTAGAAACCTAGAAGGAATAAAAGAAAATTCAATTTTATGTGAAAAATGAGTGATTGTGTGTTAACTTTTTCGTGGCAGCATGAACGTAGATTTATTAAGAGAAAGTGAGGTGAGCTCCTGAGAATGGGAGGGGCTCCCTAATATATATATTCACGTAGTACACAGGCATTAGACATTAATAATTCTTTTCATTATCACAGGTTTCAGAGAGCTGAGAAGCTAGATTTACTTGTAGCCGAGGCTGAAGGTCTCTCACCAGGACCCCGGCCCCACCTTGATGAGGCTGCCAGGGAGGCCTTCACACTCCCTTGGGTGTGCCTTTCTCAGAACACACCCTTATCCTGGTGATGAACTTCCTTCCGTTAGGAAGGCCTCCTTAGCTTCCCTCTGTTAGTTTAGAACGAGATACCCTGTGGCTCTCAACAGTCTTTCTTCCCACCAGGGAGCCTTTCCATTGCAAATCTATAAGATTTTCCACCTGAATTTATTTATTAAGAGAAAATAAGTAGGTGTCTGTGAAATAACAGTCCTGTTACCCCCAGACCGTGAACTCTGAAGAAGGATCACCACTGTTAACCATCACAGGACTAGTGGAAGGCTTGGCTTATTGCACTAAGCACCCTTTCCATGCTGCCTGAGCCAGTCCATCCTGCACTCAGTCCTAGCTTGTGTCTTAGATCTGGATATAGTGTGGTTTAGCAGGAGCCAGGAAGATTTGGATGGAAAACCTTTTCTGCAGTGGTGGAGATGGGAAAATACCCCTTCTTTATGATATAGGGAAAATACTAACATCTCAAGTTCTCACATGAACAAAATGTAATTTACTGTGCATGAATCGTGCCCTATATTAGAATTTGATTCTCCCTTTTCCTATAGATAAAAATTTAAATTCCATCTGATGGTAGCATAAGAATAAAGGCAGGCAGGGGCCTGGGGAAGTGAGATGGTTCAGTGTTTAAGAGCACGTATCGCTCTTACAGAGGACCAGAGTTCAGTTGCCAACACCCAAGTCCGGTGGTCAGTCAACTTCATCACATAGTGTGAGATTCCAATATGGTGTATGAATAACTTCTGGAAAGTTCTAGGTTAAACCTGTGTGAGTCAGGAGAAAATGTGAACCTTGGCAGGCTTAATTGAAGCCTTTGTTGTCTCAGATACAGCTCTTCCCCCACCCACCTTTTCCTGTGGTTATAGGTCCCGACCTCTCTGACGTGCAGAGCGATGAGCCTTATGACTATAAGTTTGTGAAGTGGATGACGAAAAATAAGGTACTGTTTACTGACCTTGCAGGTGCTCCTTTATAGTTAGCACTTTTATAGTTAGTTTAGCTTAGTTTTGTTGAGACAGTCTCACTATGTACCCTTGGCATGCCTGAAACTGGCTAGGTAGACCAGGCTAGCCTCAACCTGTTCTAATTCTCGCTTTCATTCAGATAGTCCACTTAGGACTTTCTAAGGGATTTTAAAAATACTTTTCCCTTTTAAAAATTACTATGACCGCCAGCAGGTATATTTCTAAGGTCTGGGGCCCGTAAGTGTCATTTGGAATGTGTGGAGCTTTCCCATTGCATCACCTTGTGTGTTTTTCAGAAACTGTCAGCCATTCCTGTTTCCGCATTCTGCGACTCCCAGTCTAAACCACACTTTGAGAAGTTGGTGCGGTTTTGCTTCATTAAAGTAAGTTTCTGTGGTCCCACAAGTGTGCCTTTATACTACCTTTTATTCCAATTTATAAAGCAGGTTTTTTTTCTGTTTCTAAAAATGATATGCTAAGTGACACGTTTAAAATTTGACTTGCTGCCATGAGGTTGGCGGTAAGTCAGTACTCAGCCTTCTGTTTGCTGGTTTTCTTAGTTCATTTATTTACTTGTGGTCTCTTGAGACAGGGTGGGTCTTCCTCTGTAGCCCAGGCTATCCTCAGACTCATGACAGTCCTGCCTCAGTCTCCAGGTGTTGGGAGCCACTGTCGTTGGTTCAGCCTTTTCTGCGGCGACCCAACAATCCTAGCTGAGGGAAATCTTCACCATTACACCTATACCAGAAGACTCTCAAGGAAGATGTTATCCCTGGGCTGGGGAGTGGCTCAGTAGATACAGCACTGGCCAAGTAAGCAGGAGGGCCAGGGTTCGGATTCCCAGACCCAGCATAAAAGTCAGACAGGCAGGGCAGAGGCCTGTAATCAATCCCACTCAGGAGACAGACGCAGGGTTCCCAGGCCAAGCTGACTGCTAGACTAGCCAGCCCATGGTTGGTGAGCTCTGAATTCCATGAGAAACCCTGCTTCCTTCCATATATAAACATCAGCAATCAAGGAAGACATCCAATATCCATTTCAGGCCTCCACAGACATGTACACACACATGCACCCACACGCATGCAAAATATGCACATACCAAATATACATAGATCCCACATGCATGTTATGGCTACTGAAAACATTAATCTATAGGTTATTTAACATAGATACTATGTTTTACTTTTTGAGATAGCCTACTAACACATTATGGACAACTTACCTAAGAATAGAATGTAAGTATTTACAACAGAGCAATGTGAGTGTTCAATTGACTAACATGTAAAAGGAAAGGGGACAATTGGAATGTAAATAAATAAATTTAAAAAAAAGAAAAAGTAAGGTTATTAAAGCATAGCATTATAATGTCCGTCTTAGAAGATATAAATCCAAGTATTTCTCCACTTACAATGGAGACATTGTCAAAAACACAGTATGTTGAAAACACGTTCACCATGACCACACCACTGAACACACCACTGAACAGTGTAGCTTTGACAGTACAGAACAGCCGGGGTAGCAGCCGTTTACCTTTGACTCATGAGGCTCCTTGCTGCATACAGCCCAGCATTAGTGGAGATATGTTCCTGTATATCACCAGCTCCCTGCCCCCAAATATCTTAAAAGCATGGCTGCTAGTGAATATCTGTCATCATAAAATTAAAAAAAAATAACCAATGGAGCCGCCGCAGGCCACAGGCCGTCTTTATAAGCACATTACTGAAAATAAAAACATAATTAATTGATGGGGAAAAGCAACCTTAAGACTGGAGTTTTAGCTGGACGTGGTAGCTCACGTATCTAACCCCAGCCTGGTCTACAAAGCAAGTTCGAAGACCATCAGAGCTACACAGAGAAACCCTATCTTGGAAAAAAACAATAAACAAACAAACAGTTCACTTTTAAACCAGTAAACACAGCTCTACCCATTCCCTTTCTTGTAAATAACTCAGGAGAGCTGTAAAAATGATTTCACAAATTACCCAAAGCATGTGGAGGGGGTTGCCAAGTAACATAAAGGGAAGGGTAGGGGAACAGAAGATGCCTAGAAAGGCTCTGTGTCTCAAAGAACAGATCTGGGTACCAAGAGCAGCAGGAATTTTGATATTCTGGCAGAGAGGAAGGTGGGCACAGGTCTGCAGTCCTGTAAACGCTCTAAAGCTGTGCCTGGGCTGTGGATTTCCTCATGGACCTGGCAGTGTTGCCAAAAGTTGGGTTGAAGCAATTTGGAGAAAAGGTCGTCAGTTAGGCTGTGTAATTAGTTCCCAGTTGGCTAGCTCCTACATTAAAGGCGCGTTAAACTTTTGATGAACAAGAGAGACTTTCTGCTGTCTTCAAGCACTGCCCAGTTCCTCCTTGATAAATATCTGTAAATTCACAGGGCTGGAAAGATGGCTTAGTGGTTAAGAACGCCGGCTGCTCAGATCAATGGGAGCAGTGTGTGCACCGACAGGGAGAACTTACAGAGAGGCATTCAGTCAGAAATCATTCACAGCCATAAATGAATGAGATACACATCTTCAAAGGACATCATACGGCAAAGGAAATACACGGAAGGAAACAACCTTCAGAGTATTCCAGGGAAAAATGAACCGTGCCGTGGAAGAGATGCAGACTGTGACATTTGAAGTTCTAAATGCTTAACACGGCCCGTTGAGCTCCAGATTTTTAAAGTTTAGGAAGGTGAGGGTGTGGTGGTGCAGGAAAATGAAATGGGATCTGTAGAAGAGCAGGGGAGAAATTGAAGGGAGAATAAACGTATTGGAATTATGGTAACACTGGAAGCGCTAAAGGATACCAAGTACTTCTCTAAGCACATCAGGGGTGAGGAAAGTAAGTAAAAGAATGTGGAGAAGAGTACAGAATTCTACAACATTAAAGAGAAAATTATGGATGTGGAAGAAAAATGAAATATGTATAGTCTCTGGAAAAAAAATAGATAGAAATAGAACTCCAAATAATTGTACAGCTGTGTTCACAGGAATGCTTCCATTAGCTAAATGCTTGTAATGGCTCGTGAAGGATCTAGAATAAGGCCCCAGGGCTGCCTCTGGGCAAGGAAAGAGAGAGGCTGAGGAAGTGTGTGGGAGGAAGCTCGTGGGGGAGGGTGGAAGCACGTGGGAGACAGGCTGACCTAAAAACAACATTGAAGGGCTGGGAAGATGGCTCAGTGGTAAAGGCACTTGGAGAACCCGAGTTGGGATTCCAATAGCCACGTGAAGCTGGTCCAGTTCCGTACGCTTGCAATCCTTCAGGAAAACGAGAGGCAGAGAGACAGTCCTGGCGTTCATAATACAACCATGAGACCCCATCTCAGACGAAGATGAGGTTAAAACCAATACTCAAGGTTGTCCTCTGACTTCCACACACACCTCACACAAATTCACACTGAGACGCATGTGCACATTTCACGTCCATATAGGTACACACAAAAGAAGAAATATTTAGGCAGTGGTGGCACATGCCTTTAATTCCAGCACTCAGGAGGCAGAGACAGGCAGATGTCTGAGTTCAAGGGCATCTTGGTTTACAGAGTGAATTACAGGACTACATAGAGAAGCCCTGTCTCAGAAAAATTTAGATACTTGAAATGTAATCAACATGTCTTTATAATTTCTAAAAGACCATGGCAAAGTATTTAGTTAACCACTAATGATAACCCATCATTCCCCAAATATTTCGTTGTGTGTTCCCCACCAACAAGGACATTCCAAAACCACAGACCACCACCCTCTGCACCATGGACTTAACCTTGTCAAATCATCATCCCATCTATAACATTATCCCAGCAGCCCCTGTCCGAGTCTCACTAACTGTCCATGTAAAAACTTCAGACCAAGCAAGCTGAGGCACTGGCCCAAATCAGGTCATTCAGTCTGTCGTCAAGGCCAGAACTATGTGTTGCATTTAGTTGTCGTGTTAAAGAGATCCTCACTTTTACCATTCACTGCCTTGACACACTGTAAAACTCAGCAGCCGAGCCCGGAGGTGGTGGTGCCTGCCTTTAATCCCAGGCAGAAGCAGGCTGGGTTTGAGACCCAACTTGGGTCGTACAGCCAGAGCACACAGAGAAACATCCTCAGCCAATTACTATAAGGAAAGTCTCTCCGGTTTGACCTGTCACCGTGGGAGGGAACCCACTTTAGTTTGGTTGCTACAGTTAACTTCAAGCACTTTAGTGAGGTGGAGTTTGCATGTGTTTATTATAAGGTTAGAGGTTTTCCGTTAAATTTAGTAACTATTTTGAAGGAATTGCTTTGAAATTATGGTAGAATTCCATCCCTCACCAAGCAATGTTTTTATTTTACTTATTGTTCAGTAACAGTAAAAGCTCGTCAATTTTTGTTTTATTTGATGAGTTCTAATTTATCATTGTCACCTATTTTTCAGTTAAGTCTCCCCAGAATTGGGCCATTGTGGGTCCCTTTAAGCTGGCTTCTGTTTCTTTTGATGTGTCACCAGCATTTTAGAACATTTTCTTGACTTTCTACACAAGGATCATTTTATCAGTCTGTAACCAGCCATTCCCAATAAGTCTGATTCCTTTGCTTTGTGAGTGGGGGAGGGGGGTGGGGTGATGTTTGAGGGGTTTTATTCTCCTTTGTGTATACAGATATTTTGCCTGCATGTATGCCTGTGGACTATGTGTACGACGTGTCATAGCTCCTGGAAGTAGAGTTACAAATAGCTGTGAGCTACAATGTAGGTGCTTAAGACTCAACCTAGGTCTTCATTGAGAACACGTGCTCTTGTTCACGGGGCATCTCTCTGGGTCCTAAATCAAGATCTACATACTGAGAGTGTTCATTGCTGTTGTGTGTTGCTGTTTCTAGGCCCTTCCAGCAGAGGTGGAGAATATATAAATGCACTCAAATACATGCACCATCATATGTCAGTCATACCTCTGCATCAAGGGGTGATTCATTACATTCCCCCCAAAATCTGTATTTACAAAACCCCCAAGATATTCAAGTGTCTTATATAAATGCCATACTATTTGTCTATAATGTATGCACATCCTTCTGTATACCTTAAATCATCTCTAGGTTATTTATAACCTAATACAATGTAGCACCATTCAAATAGACATTATAGTGTATTGTTTCTGAATCATAACAAGAAAAAGAAATATGTTCATGCTCAGTACAGATGTAATTTCTTCTCTCGCACACTTTCAATCATCGGCTGGTTGAGAAGCAGAACCCTTGGGTAGACAGGATTGACTGCATGCATATTTACAGCTGTATATATTTGTATCCGAATTTATTGAAAATTATCATGCGGTTAATTGTAATTTTTTTCCTTTTCTATGTTTGTGACTCCCTTCTTCAAGGGTGAAGGCTGGTTCCCATCATTTAATTACTTCATACCTCTGTATGGGATTGATCTCTGGTTAATCTTCCCCCTCCCTTTCTCTCTCTTACACACACACACACACACACACACACACACATATGACAGGAGAAGGCATCACATCTCCTAGAGCTGGAGTTTTAGGAAGCTTTGTGAGGCTCCCCCCTAACCCGGGGTGCTGGGAGCACGATTTCTGTGCAAGAACAGTACTACCCTTAACCACTGAGCCACCTTTCCACCCCTCCTCTTTTAGTCCCCACATTTGTGATTTTACTTTGACATTGCTTCTTCACCTAAGACTAGACTTTCTCTTAAATTTGTGGGTATTGCTAGTATGGTTTATATCTTCAATAGGTTTTTCTGAAGGTAGGTGTGTGTGCCACAAGCACCCGGCTATATCTTCTATGTTTAAATATTGCAATATCTTGAATTTATAGTGGTATGTAATGATACAATTATTTATTTCTAGAAAGACAGCACACTGGATGCTGCAGAAGAAATCTTCAGGGCATGGAACAGCCAGAAGTCTTGACTTGTGCAGGTGCCAGGGCTCAATCTGCTTGCAAGGACTTGCTACTCAGTGCTGCCACCTGGTGGGCACTAAAAAGAAAAGCGTTTCAGGACAAAGATTTAAATAAACATTTCCTTTGTCTCCAAAGTTAACCACATTCCTAACAGTGTTCAGTGCATTCTGGTTTTATTCGTTTGGGGTGTATTAAGGCATCTTCCACTGTAATTTTGGGAGTGTCCGTGTCAACTTCTCCATGTTATAATTTCTTATGAGTGGAAAAAGAAATCATAGTTAACTGCTCCAGGTGTAGCATGGCCTGCAAGCCCAACACTTGGGAAGTGGATGCAGGACTTCAAAGTCATCCGCAGTGATGGGCTCATCCTGGGTTACATGAGACTTTCTCTCAGTACATGAAAGAAAGAAGCAAAACCGACACATACTTATCCGAAGCTCATCTGTGAGGATTACTGGCTCATTCTGTATGAAGCCTGGCAAGCCACAAACACACGGTGTTGACCCGTTTCTCCTCTCCGCCCTGCTGGCCCCAGCCAGCTGTGATGGTGCCTATAGCACCCTCCCTGGGGCACTGAACTTGGCTCCCGGCCTTGTTTTTCTAGTCCAAGGGCTACTGTGATTTGGGGCAGCTTCGAGGTCCGCACGGGCAGCCTATGTTTTCCCTCCGTTGACCTTGCTGCCTCTGCTGATGTTCACCTCTACTCCGCCTGAACCACCCACTCCCTCGGCCACACCCTGAAACTGTCCTCACTCAGAGCTGCTTCACCTTTGAGATAGTAAATCCATCCTCTCTCTCTATAACCACCTGTCTTCAGCGCGTGCTTCAGTGGCCGTTCTCTCTCTCTCTCTCTCTCTCTCTCTCTCTCTCTCTCTCTCTCTCTCTCTCTCTCTCCCCCTCCCTCCCCTCCTCTTCCTCCTCCTTCT